TGTGATGGATGGGCCATTAGAAGTCAAGGAAGCTTGAGGAAAGTGGACGGATGAAGACAAGAAGAATTTTCAGCTCAATTCAAAGGCAACAAACCTCGGGGTCGTTTGGAAGTTGCGATTGTTAAATAGATGTATTGTTGAGAATGCATGTATAATATTATACATGTATTTTCGAATTTGATGCATTGTAGAATACAACGTTTGGTATGTGTGATTGTGTATGTCGCACCAGCTAAAAGTTAAGACAAAACAATCTCAACTCAACTATCTCAACAATCACAACTAAAAGTTGAGATATAACAATCACTCAAAATGAGTGATAGTTTCTGTCACATCATAGAAACAATCCATGTATTGTTTCTGCTAAAAAAACAAAAAAACGATGCATTGTAAACAATACATGCATAATGACAATCTCAACAAAACAATCGCAACTTCCAAACGACCCCCTAATGTACTATGCATTAGGGCCTGAAGAATATCACAGAGTCACAGGTTGCAAAACAGCGAAAGAGATTTGGGACAAGCTTCAGATCGCTCATGAAGGTACTTCTCACGTCAAGATTTCCAGAATCAACAGTCTTAAGCAAGAATTTGAATCCTTCATCATGAAGCCAGAGGAATCAATCAAAGAAATGAATGATCGTTTCACAACAATCGTCAATAGTCTGAGAAATTTGTAAGTTGAATATCCAAGTGCTGATCTTGTTCGCAAAGTTCTCTAGGCTCTGCCTAAACGTTGGACTCCTGAGGTTACTGCCATCGAGGAATCCAAGGATCTCACCAGACTCAGCTTAGATGAGCTGATAGGATCCTTGATAACTCATTAAGAGAAGTTAAGAAGAGAAGAAGTTGATGAGCCTAAGAAGGATAGACGAAATATTGCGTTCAAAGCTTCATCATACGAAGAAGATTTGGAAGGATTAGAAGACATGGAAGATGATGAATTAGCACTGCTGAGCAAACATGTTGCTAGACTGCTAAAGATGCGACGTGGCAGAAGAAAAGGGAATTCACCAAGTAAGGCAAAAGAGAATAGAGATAAAAAAGAAAGAAATCGGTTTGGATATAAAAACAGAAGGGAAGGCAGCATAGAGAGGCCCCGGCTACAACCCAACTGTTACAAGTGTGGGAAAACGGGGCATATGAAGGCAGATTGTGAATTTACAAAGAAAGCCTATACTGCAACTTGGAGTTGCAGTGAAGAAGAAGAAGTGTGCAGACAGGAAGCATATATGGCCATTGATGCAGAATCACAGGATGAAAACATCAACCAGGTAAAATCCTATTATTCTGATTCTTTTAGTGAGGATGATCAAATGGTAGAAACTATACGAGATATCCAACAAGAATTTGCTAATGTAAAGCAAAAACACATCAGAACTAAAGCTGAATTTGAAACCTTGTTATCAAAGTATGAATCACTCAAAACAGAGAATCAAAAATTGGAAAACGCCTTAAAAATGCCTTAAACGAAAATGAAACTCTTAGAAATAAGCTTATCGTTTCAGAGGACAGAGTAAGGTACTTAGAAAGAAACAAAAACTTAAGTCTGTCTAACAGGTTCAATAATAGGAAGATAATTGAGTGTTACTACTGTCATAGGCTTGGACATCATATAAGCAAGTGCAGAAAACGCATTGCCAAAGAAAATAAGATCAAGAATGTTTCAAGTCTTGCTCATGACCACACTGAATGTTCACATAAAAAAATCAGGTCTCGAAAGAACCTAAACTAGTTTGGATACCTAAAAACAAGTAATTCATCTCTTTTGCAGACCTGTCTCCAAGTGAGCATGGAAGGCAGTGTTTGGATTCTTGACAGTGGCTGCTCACATCATATGACCGGGGATACAAAGCTATTTACTGATCTCACACTAGGAAAGAGAGGTAAAGTCTATTTTGGTGATAATTACACTACAGAAATACTAGGTAATGGAACCATAGGTAATTCACCATCTATAAGTAATGTTATGTTTGTAAAAGACTTAAAACACAACCTACTTTCCATAAGTCAGCTGTGTAAAAATGAAAACCGAGTCATTTTTGAACTAAATGGATGTGTTGTTGAAAATATCTTAACAAAGAAGACTCTGTTTACAGGCAAACGAAGAGGGAAATTGTTTATCATTGACCTAAATGAAAAAAAGACTTTCAATGAATCTTGTCTCATAACAGTTGACAAAGATGATTAACTTGAATGGCATCGCAGGTTAGGGCACATAAGTGTGGGTATTCTGTCTAAACTGGTAAATTTAGAACTAGTCAGAGGTGTTCCTAAGATTCATAGCAAGAAAGAGTTTTTCTGTGATGCTTGCACCAAGGGAAAACATACTAGAACCTCTTTCAAAACTAAACAGATCATGTCCACAAATAGACCACTTGAATTACTCCACCTGGATCTTTTTGGTCCCAGTAATGTTATGAGTCTAGGAGGAAAATATTATGCTTTTGTCATTGTTGATGATTTTTCAAGATTCACTGGGTTTTATTTCTCTCAAGTAAAGATGAAGTCTTTTTGAAATTCAAAACTTTTGTCAAACAGGTTGAAAATGAAAAACAGTCTAAAATAATAAACATTCAGAGAGATCATGGAGGTGAATTCGAATCAGAAAAATTTGAGGAATTCTGTAACATGAATGGAATCCTACACAACTTTTCAGCCCCTAGAACACCACAACAAAATGGTGTAGTTGAGAGGAAGAATATGACTCTAATTGAAATAGGAAGAACTATGCTCAATGATTATGGAGTGTCAAAGAAATTCTGGGCAGAGGCTATTAACACAGCCTGCTACGTAATCAATAGAGCTTTAATTCGATCCAAATTAAACAAGACCCCTTATGAGCTTTGGAAAAACCGGAAACCTAATCTAAGTTATTTTCATCCCTTTGGTTGTAAGTGCTTCATATTAAATACAAAAGATACTTTGAGAAAATTTGACTCCAAGTCAGATGAATCGATTTTTCTTGGTTACTCTACGAACAGTATAGCTTATAGGGTGTTTAATAAAAGGACTCTCAAGGTAGAAGAGTCCATTAATGTTATGTTTGATGAGTCTGTGAGTAAGATTGCAGAAGTAATAGATGATGATGACTTTGGACTCGGTGGCAACCAACTCAAGGACTAAAAAATAGTGAGTACAGAAACATCACCAACTACTGAGAGTACAGCCTTGGACAGACCTGAAGCACCTCCTCACATACAGAAATGTCACCCCAGCTCCCAAATCATTGGTGATCTAAACCAAGGTATGGTGACTCGATCCATGGCTTATCCCGAGCATACTGCATTCATTTCTCAAATTTTAACTAAAAATATAGATGAAGCTCTAGAAGATGAATTTTGGACAGCAGCTATGCATGATGAAATGAATCAGTTTGAAAGAACCAGAGTTTGGGATCTAGTTCCCAAACCTGAAAACAGAACTATAATTGGTACAAAATAGGTCTATAAAAATAAATTAAATGAAAGTGATATTATAATGAAAAATAAAGCTAGGCTTGTATCTCAAGGGTATAATCAAGAAGAAGGAATAGACTTTGATGAAACTTTTGCACCAATTGCTAGATTAGAAGCCATAAGGCTTCTCTGTGCTTATGCAACAGCAAAAGGGTTTAAACTATTTCAAATGGACGTCAAAAGTGCATTTTTAAATGATGATCTAAAAGAAGAAGTTTATGTGTCCCAACCCCCTAGTTTTGAGAACTCAGAGCATCCACAATATGTTTATAAACTTAACAAAGCCCTCTATGGTCTTAAGCAGGCTCCTCGAGCCTAGTATGACAAACTAAGTCAGTTTTTTATAGATGATGGCTTTCATAGGGGAAAAGTTGATAAAACTTTGTTCATCAAGAGGTCAAATGGTCACACTCTGTTAGTACAAGTATATGTAGACGATATTATCTTTGGATCCTCCTGTCCAGAATTGTGTCGTAATTTCGAAAATAGCATGAAAGGAGCTTTTGAAATGAGCCTTATGGGTGAACTAAACTTCTTTCTTGGACTACAAGTTAAACAAAACAATTCGGGAACCTTCATAAGTCAAAGTAAATATCTTCATAACATGCTAAAGCGTTTTAATTTTGGAAATCTAAAGTCTGCCCCTACTCCCATGGGTTCCTCCACTAAACTATCAAAAGATGAAATCGGTAATAACGGTGATCATAAGCTTTTTAGAGGGATGATAGGTTCTTTACTCTACCTAACAGCCAGTCGCCCAGATATAATGTATAGTGTGTGTGTGTGTGTATGTGCTCGTTTTCAAAGTCAGTCTAAAGAGGGTCACCTATCTGCTGTCAAGAGAATTTTCCGCTATTTAGCTGGAACTCCTCACCTAGGACTGTGGTATTCTAAGCATTCTAGCTTAGACTTAGTTAGCTACACAGATTCAGACTATGCAGGCTGCGTGATTGATCGTAGAAGCACCTCTGGTGCTTGTCATTTCCTCGGGTCCTCTCTCATTTCTTGGTTCAGCAAAAAGCAGAATTCAGTAGCACTATCTACTGCGGAAGCAGAGTATGTAGCTGCTGGATTCTGTTGCACTCAAGTGCTTTGGCTGAAATATAAGCTAATTGACTATGGAATCTCCTTAGGATCTCTACCTATTTTCTGTGACAATACCAACGCTATAAACATGTTTAAGAATCCTATTCAACATTCTCGGACTAAGCACATTGAAGTCCGATATCATTTCATTCGAGATTTAGTCCAGGATGGTAAGATACATCTTGATTTTATTAGGACAGAGTGTCAATGGGCTGATATCTTTACTAAACCCTTGCCATCTGATCAGTTTCTGCATATCAGGCGAGAATTCGGGCTATTCTCTCTCCAGGATCTGCCTGGTTTTAAGTAAACCATCCTCCTACTTCTTCTGTCGTCTAATTGATCTTTCTTTCCTTTTCCTGGTCTGCTAATGGATCCTCATCCTTCTGGCAACTTACCATGTTTCCTCTCATCCTCCCTATAAGACTCTTAGACCTTGGGACCCTTCAGTCACTCATCTTTGCCCCAAACATAAACATTTTTTTCTCAAAATATTCCCTCCATCATGGTGCTCAACAACCCTCAGCTCCATCGTGTTGTTACCTTCTCCAACAAGGTATTCAGAAAGGATAAAGAGTTCTCTCGATATGTACAACGCTTTTGTGATCGTGCTATTTATCCTTCCTTCACCATCCACCCGTCTTCCTTTTCAAGGTACGACATGGATATATCTGCCTTGATTCGCAACCTTGATTGGGAGTCCTTGTTTGAAGATCAATGGTTCACCTATTGCCCCGAGGCTGTGAGGTTGTTCTATGTGAACCTCAAACGTGGGTCTGGGCCTGATCTCTATTCCTTCAAAACCACGGTAGAAAACCTTGAGATCACAGTCACTGCTGACCTGCTTGCCAGTGAACTAGGGTTGCCACACAACGGACTCAAGGCAGGTTATGATGGGCAGTTTCGTGACTATAATTTTGACTACCATCATGTCGAGAACTCACTAGTGCATGATATTGGTCGATACTTTGCCAATAAACTTGATGCTGGCCGTCTTCCCGATGATCTGCGTGTACTCCACTTTTTCATCACTTCGGATCCTCCTTCCCAAATCTCTATCAAGTGCCACCCTACTGCACACATCCGATCTCTGGATCCTCCATCATGCACGTTCTTGCCAGCCTATCAGCTATGCATCCCTGGTCTTCTGCCATCTTGTCAAGTATGGAGATGACAATTATGATGGTTGGTTGCCTATAGCACCTCTCATTACCCAGCTGCTTCGGAGGCTAGGAGTTGATCTTCGTGATAAGGTCACACTTTGCAACGTTCATGATGATCTGAAAGCGCAGTATGTTCTAGCTCGTCTCGAAGCCAGCGTTGGACCCCGCAAGCCTGTCACTAGCTCAGGGGGGAGAGGTTGCTGCTTTGGTCAAAGCTCTAGTGTCTGCTGCTGAAGTGGTTGTCGACCGCGAGTTAACTAGTTTCTCCAGTGAAAACTTTAAAGGGAAGCGAAAGATTCCAGTAACTACTCTGACATCTCTGTCTACTCGGTTGAAACTCATCAGAGATGGAGGCGGAGCAAGCTCCTCCGGTATCAGGGAGGAGGACGAAGCTGTCGAAGAACCTGAAGACACTGGGGACATCTCAGATTATGACTCCCCTCCTCATTACCCCTTTTAGATTTAGCCTTAAGTCTCTTTTAGGTTTCTGTCTAGTTTCTAGGTCTAAGTTACCTAGAACAAAAGCTGCCCTAGTTGTTCCCTGTACTGCTTCTCAATTTCTCTAATGAATAAAGTGGCATCTTGAGTAGAAATCGAATCCTTCTTGTAGAACAAGTTGCACCGATTTGTTTGATGAGTTGATGCAGGTATATTCTGGAAGCAGCAGTCAAGGAGCCATTGACAAGCTTAGGGGGAGCATGTTGAAGGAAGCTCGGTCAATGGCCTTGATCAAGCAACTCAAACGGTACAAATGGTTGATTTGGAAAGAAATCAAGTTGTGATACATTACCATTTGTACTCTCAAGTGAAAGATAGAAAGTTCCTAAAAGAGACGTTGAAGAAAACAGAAGTATAAAGGAACGGATCATGAACCTGCAACCTCGCCTTTTTCAATCGATTAAGAAGAGAAGAGCTGAGAATTAGCTAGAATTTTTGTTGTGAAAAAGATAGCAGATCAGAGTGATTGCTTAGCTGACTAGGTTACTGTCTTGCGGAGTTGCAGTCTTGAGTGAGAGTTCAATCTGGTTAGGGTGATTTACCAGCAGGAGCCTGAGAGCTTCTGTTCAGAATTGTAATAGGAAACTTGAAGAACCAAGTCATTAGTCATACGTTGAAGATCTCAAGAAGAGATTCTTCAACCGTGGATTAGTCAGTACATGGATCCTTATCCTCCCTGTACTGGATACCACGTAAAAATTCTGTGTGTCATTTACTTATTTCCGTTTTTCATTTGACTGACAATTTGTTTGTGTGTTCTTGAGCTCTGTTTGGAACATGGAAGGTTCCCCTGAATCGAAGAGTTGGAGAAGAAGAAGCATTACTCTTCGTTTCTGATTGCCTGGGTTAAGGGCTTTAATTACAGGGCCTTCAAAATCATTTCACTGGGCCGAAACTTGAAAACAAAACAAACAGGCCCATTACTCATTTTCTTCTCTAATCGAAGACTGAACACTTTCTCTTCTTCGTCTTTCGTTCATTTGCAAATCAGTTTCACCATTCTATCACAAGTCTTGTTCTAGGGTTTTGTTTTTCAGAAAGAAAGTACAAGCAAATCACTTTCGGTCTCGCGCTCGACCTTTGTCAACAAAATCAACTTCGATGCAAACGTTAGCCAAATCAACATCTCGCTCAAAAAATCCAGCGATAGGTCAAGTAAACTTGCCCAAAAGAGCGTAGATTGTGCCATGCTTGGCCCATAGTGTTTCCAGGTACCAAAAAGATTGCTAGGAACAGGAAGGTTCAACCAAGAACCTTGACGATAAGGGTGAACCTCCACCGAAAGCTTTGTTTTTCTGTCGAGTTAAAGGGGATCATGGGCAAAGAGGATCATCTCCTTAGGCACCTTATCGTCCCTTTCATCCTCATGCATTGTCTCGGTGACGTACGTTTTCGGAATCAGACTCTTCAACATATTAGGAGTTCTTCAAAAGGGTGTCGCTATCTTCGTCCAAGCTGACATAGGAGGAGCATTAGTGGAACTTGGTTGGGGCTCAACAACGAAGACACTAGGGAGTCTAGGGTTGGGGACTCGCAGCTCCAAAAAATCGCGGAGCGAAAATTAAATTATGAATTTTTTTTCTTCTATTATTGAAGTACATGATATTTTTTTGAAGAACAAAGCTAATTTGAAGTTAAAATGTGTAACTTCGTATCCTTAAGAAAAATATTATTGAGAATATCTATCTTCAATCTATCTCAATGTGGCCGATGTAGGCAGAGTGCTATCTGTTACACACCTTCATGTTAATTGAAGCTGGTGGCCGTTTTCCCTTCCTCCCTCCCTCCCTCCCTCCATCATCACAATTCACAACTATCACACCACTTCCACTTTTTGATCTACTCTTCTTTCCCCTTTCTCTCCCATTACCCATTTCTTCCCTTCCTTCTGGATAGCTAGCTGATTCACAGAAACGAGCCATGAAATAAGCTAATAACGCGAAAGCTTCCCTTTACAGAGATTCCCATTTGACCCATCAAACTATTCCAAAAATTCCAGTACAGCCCTCCCACAATTACCATTTTCAAGTAAGTTTGGCATCTCTCTCTGTTTTACTCCCACGGGGCAAAGAACAAAACCCAGTGAAACAGAGAAAGGGGAAAGCCAGCGAGTTCCATTGATTACTATGTATGATTCCATTGTTTGTATTGTAATCAACTCTCATTACTCTATTTGCCTTCCTCTACCCTCGATTCCTCGTCGTTTTCTCCCTTTTCGCTGCTGTCTCTGTCTCACTCTGCTTCACCTCCATTTTTAATTTTCTTTTGCTTTCTTCTTAAGCTTGTCTCTTCACTCTCCACGCAGCTCGAGATTCTTTTCCATTTGTTTAACAATGAAAGATCCTTTCTATCTCCTTCTTCTTCTTCCATTGGTTCACTTTCAACCGTAAAGTAATTGAGTTTGAATAAACTAAGAGTAAGAGCAATACCGACCTTGTTGGCTGGCTGCCGGAGGTGGAGGAACTTGAAAGCCATTTGTTTCTGCGGTGGTGGTTTTTCCTTTTTTATTAATTAAATCATTTTTTTCGGGGTTCTATAAATTTCCCGCTCTTTGTAAATACCGAGGTTACTTACTACCGCCAATCACTTTTCTCTTTTCTCTCCTGCTGCCTTCCTTTGTCCTTCTCTTCACTTCCCTCGCCATTTTTGTTTTCTTCTAATAATTAGAAACCACTCTCATTTCTTACTCTTGATCCCGTTTCCCGATTCCAGGGTTTCTGTAATAAGTAATTCATTCAAAAATTTGGATTGATCAGTTGGGGAAGGAAGGAAGGAAGGAAGAAGAAGACGATGATGAACACTAGAGTACGCTCTGCTCTTCAGGGCTTGAAAGCTCCATTGCACCATGATAATACCAACAATAATAACAATACCAACCACAAAGTAAGCAATGTGCGGTGTTTTGCTCTGTTCCATTGCAACTTTTCTTTCTTTCTGTGTCATTCTAATCTTGCTCTGTTTTCCGTTTGCCAAGTGATTGATTGGTTTCTGTGAAAATTTTGTAAGATTGGTTTCTTCGATTTTCCTTCACGCCCACTTTAGATAAAGAGTGAAGTACTGAAGGGATTGGTTCCTTCTACTTTAAAACCTGAAAAAGGATTGAGCTTTAGATCCAAACCACCATTGGGGTTTCCTTTTCCCTTTTCCATCCTTCTCAAGGAAAAAATATTGCTTCTCTGTTCTTTTACACCATGCTTTTACAAACAAAAAGAAAATCTGCAATTCTTCCCTGGATTTCATGCTTCATTCCCATGTAATCAGATTACTGACGCTCACGGTGAAAATTGGCATAGAAGGAGAAAATGCAGAGCCATGGTGGAGGAATAAGAGCAATTGCTGCCTTAAAATCTGCAGCCATTACCAACAGGCGTAAATTGAACAGAGAAAGGAAATTGGCATTGCTACAAGATGTAAGTGAAAAAGGAATGGAATCAAATTCCTAACTTGCAATTTCGAAATTCAGTACTTCCGTTAAGGGTTCTTCAATTTGATTACCCTTTCCTTTTTGCAGGTTGATAAGTTGAAGAAGAAGCTTAGACACGAGGAGAATGTACATAAAGCATTAGAGAGAGCTTTCACTAGACCTCTTGGAGCTCTCCCTCGCCTGCCTCCTTATCTCCCTCCTTATGTCAGTAGACTCAACTCTTTCCTTCCAAAATGTCTCTTTAGAAAATTGCAGCTGAGATCTGACATTGGTTTTTCTTTCTCTTTTCAGACATTAGAGTTGCTTGCGGAAGTGGCTGTACTAGAAGAAGAAGTAGTTAGGCTTGAAGAGCAAGTTGTGAACTTTAGACAAGGCCTCTACCAAGAAGCTGTCTACAACAACAACTGTTCTAAAAACTCTACTAATGATGGAGTTTCTGAACAACAGCAACAACAACAACAACCTTGCTGTTCTTCGTCTAGTACGAAAACACCAGCTAGGCATTCGAGATCAAAGTCAGTCTTGTCGACCAACGAGCTCATCAATTCATCGCCATTTGGATCAGCAGCCAGACAGCAGCGGCAGCCTTCTCCTGGTAGAAGTAGATCAAGCAGAAAGCTCTTGCCAAGTGAGAGTCCAATAATAAGTGGTCAATCAAGGCATAAAGGTCAAGGCTCAAACAAGGTGTTCTCTTCCTCTCCATATGATGAGATAGGGAAGGAGAATCGTTCGTGGAGTAATTCGTTGAAAGAGAAGCAATCTCCTGAGAAGAGAAATGGTAAGGTTGCAACCCCACGTAAGAGACTGTTTGATAACAGACGGCTATCAGAAGATAAATGCTCAGTTGTTCCTTCAAAGTCAAGGGTACACAAACATACTCCTGGTTCTCAATTGGGTGAAGCTCAAGGGTAAACTTGTTCGTTGTTCATGGCTCATTGTGAGTTCTATTTTGTATGCATAAGGTGGAATGCAGGTTAGCAGAAGAAGAAGCAACTTCATCATCGGGTTGCTCGGATGAAGTTCTTGAAGCTAACAAGCTATCTGAGGATATGGTGAAGTGCCTATCCACCATTTTGATGAAGATGAGAACATCGAAAGACAAGGCAGCGGCAGATATGATCACCACCCTAGAAAGTGAGTGTGGTTGGGACGCTTATTACCACGGTGAAAGTAGTAGAGATAACAACACTGTTGGTCCATACAGAGATATGTGTGCAATTGAAGCCAGCTCGATCGACCTCAACCGGGCAACAACCGTTGTGTTCCTGTTACGTAGGCTGAAGTATGTCTCTCATCCTAAATCCATCTTTCCTTATGTTAAAATCCAGTCAAAATTCTGTTGCCTTGCTGAATGTCGCGGGCACCAATACGAGCTGAAATAGAAATCATTCAGCACGTTCACCACATTGGGAAAGAATTCAATGACTTGAATGATTGTTCAGAGACATGATCAATGCTTGCTTGCTTTTCAGGTTTCTGATAGAGAAACTTGGCAGCGTGAATTTGGAAGGGCTTACTCACCAGCAAAAGCTTGCTTTCTGGATAAACATATACAACTCTTGTATGATGAATGTGAGTCTTTCTTATTACCTTGTTATGATACTAACTGTTTAAGTATGGGGAATAAGTCATTTTTTTTTGCTCTCAACTCTTCTGCTTTGCAGGCCGTTTTGGAGCATGGGGTGCCTGAGACGCCTGAAATGGTTGTGGCACTAATGCAAAAGGTAACTATTACATCAGTTTTCCCTAATCTTGATCATGTTCAACAAAGTGGTTTTGATCTCAAAGATGGTGATTAATTTTGGCGAATCGCAGGCAACGATAACAGTCGGGGGTCGCCTGCTGGATGCCATCACAATTGAACATTTCATACTGCGGCTTCCTTACCACTTGAAATTCGTAAGTCTACTTAAAGAGTTCTGACAATTAATACCCCGTTCAAAGGAGTGTCATTTACCAATCAACTGATCTGCCAATGTAGACATGCGAAAAGGCGTCGAAGAACAACAGCGACGAGATGAAGGCGCGCAACAGCTTCGGGTTAGAGTGGTCAGAACCTTTGGTCACCTTTGCACTCTCCTGTGGAAGCTGGTCCTCCCCTGCTGCTGCTGTAAGTACCTTTCTGATCACTTTCTTTAAGAGAAGAAAAACAGGCAGACTAGCTAATTCATGGGAATACCACAAACAATTGCAGGTGCGGGTATACACCGCTTCAGAAGTGGAAGAAGAGCTAGAGGCAGCAAAGAGAGACTACCTGGTTGCAGCAGTTGGGATGTCAAAGACGAGACAGGAAGCTGATGATACCAAAGCTACTGGGCTGGTATCTGCTGGACTTTGCCAAGGACATGGGCTCGTTGCTGGACTGGGTCTGCCTGCAGCTGCCCGATGGGCTCAGGGATGAAGCTGTGAGGTGCGTGGGGAGAGAGCCATTGTCACATTTGGTTCAGGTCACGCCTTACGATTTCAGCTTCAGGTTTCTTCTGCAGAGGTGAGAATTGGAAAGAGGAATGATATATGGATTTTGATAGAGCTTTGGGAAATAGGAAGTGGGGTAATAGGTGGGAATAAATGGTTCCTACACATAAAATAGATGGGCTTGTTTTTTGGGTTCTTTTTCTTTGGGTTGGACTTATTGGTGGTGGGTTGTGATTATTCTACACACAAAACATTCTTTCAACTTCTTTCTGTAATACAATTTGGTCACTCCGATTGATTCCTATGACTTCTATTATTTTGGAATCGAGGACAGTTCGTTACATTGTTGTAGTACTCGAGTCCCTAGTTTGGCTAGTAGGCTTCAATTCTGCCTCTGGCATTCATAAGGTTTTGTATACAAAAAAAAAGACTAATTTGCCGAGATATAATCGGAAAAATCATAATGGACGTGATGACCCAAAAGAAGAAAATTCGTAGAACACAAATTTCAAGGAACAATGAATTGAACCCACCAAAACCCAAAAGAGCACTAACGTCCTCACAAGTAAATCACCAGATCAGCCCTTTGTTAGTAAGATAAAGAAAACAATCTACCTCACGTATTGTACATTTTATACATGCAACCCAAAGCCAATCCAAACGAAGCCTACAACAAAAGCATAAAGGTATACAGTCAGCAGCAAAATTGCTATCTCAATTACAATGGCAGGGGTCACCTGATGACTGCACGAATACGATGGAATGGCGAAGGGGAAACGATCACGATATAGGAAGAAAGCATAGCGAGGAAGAACTACAACAAACCGAATGAACAATCACATGTACACCAAACAAGGCGGGGTGGGCAGCTCGCTCATGCTTTGGGACAAGAAGATTTACCTGAAAGATGACCTATAAAGAAATCTCAGGTCAATTCCGAGGCTGTCCGTAGTGGAAGAGACAATGTCAATGATGCCTGCTAAAGGTCTTGAATTCTTAGCCAAATGGCGAGGGAACGGGTCCTGCAACAGCATCTGATCTCTTGATGCTGCCCATACCACAGATAATGCATCCAGGGGAAGAGAGCGCCGAGAATTTGGCACCACAAAGATCGCAGACATCATACCCGATCGTCGAGAGACGACCGAGGGTGGCAGCGCAGAACTGGGAAGGATCTTCAAGAGGGTCGATGGACTTGTCAGACGAGCCTCTCTGGACACACATGTCAACGAGGCTCCTCAGTTCATCTTGCTTGGCTTGGGGAGCTTTGGATAGTAGGAGCTCCAGCATCTGTTTTGTGTAGGCGAAATTCTGGACTTCCATGTTTCTCTTGATTGCTGTTCGTATACAGTTTATTCGGTGCTTTGCAAGAAGAGGCAGGGAGCCCAGGTGTCGTGCGAGCCGAGCCATTTCATCCTTTGCACTCAGCACGTTTGGTCCTTGTACCTTCTGCAGCCGTGTGATTTCCTGTTCCCAACAAATAAATGATTGTTTGTCAGCATTCTTTTAGTCTTGGAATGCCGGAGGGGAAATGGATATCACAAGAACATTCTTAGCGAGTGTTTGTTTTGGCTAAAACGTAACTTAAAACTAAGTGCAAACTAAAATTATTAGTTACTCGTAGTTATATCACTGAACTGATGTGTCGCAACTAGAGCACCGATTTCCACTATGGAAAACTCAGTCAATCTTATCTCAGTTCAAAGAGACTGACTGCAAAATCAACGATTTCATGTACGTTAATAAAAACATTCCTATAGTTGTAGTAGTACCATGTTTCAGATTCCAATTACCTGAAGCAGCGTAACTGCTATCTTGTACTGAGCACAGATGGTTGCTTGGGCTTTGACATCAGCTCCGCGAGAGAAATCTTTGGCCAGAGCCAAGAAAGCTTCATCAAAGCATGACAATGCATCAGGAAGCTGATTCTGCTCAAGGTGAGCAAGGCCGGTCTTGAAACACATAGAAGCAGCTGCCCCACGGGGAACCTATTATCAAACAAGCCAAAAGAAGCAGCAAAAGACACAAGGTTAGATTTCATATCGGAATTCGAAATGCCTCCACCATCTTTGTTTTCTCTCTAATTTCTAATTCTCAAACCCAAAGTTTAAAAAAAAAGTCTTAACTCAAAATGCAGCATGTTTGTTTGGCTCAAGGGAAAAAAAATACTGAAATGAAACTGAAAAGCTTTTTCAAATATTCTCATTCAATTTAACTTCTTAAACCATTCGTGGACTTCACAAATTCTAAAGGTTATCTCAGTAAAAAAAACATAATTCTAACGTTTAAAAAATATATATTCTTCCCCCATAATCCGAGAATTCATGCTCTTAATTATTATACGTGCTATTTACCATCTCTTGCAAATTTATTAATCTCTCATTACTAAAAAAATATTTCGTATTATATCACTTCAACTATTTCTAAACCCTACCAAACATATTTTTCCTTTACCAAGACAACAACTTAAGAAAACAACTCATTTTTTAAGCAAAAGCTAAAACAAGAACTCCCAACAGACTAAAAGCAATCTCACCTGTCCAGGGCGCACAGATGATGGTGGAGGAGGTCCTGGAGATTTCCCAGAGTCATCGGTATTTGGAACTCCAAGCACACTGAGATCAAGAGGCTGTGAAGAGATTGGTGGCTGAGAAGGCTGAACAATGTGAGGCTGAGTGGGGAAAGCAGCCTGTCCAGTAGCATGTGGTATGATGGATGCCTGAGCAGAGACTTGAGGCGGCACACCACCATCAGGAAGTCCGAATGAATCAATTGGGAATGATTGTTGTTGAGTGGCCGGCGGAGGAACACCGCCGCCAGGAAGGCCAATATCAGCAGCTACAGGAGCATCAATTGGAGTAGGTGCCATTCTCTCGCCACCTTCTGTTCTTTGATCCATCTTTGAAAGGAAGGTACCTGGCGGGGGCAGGGTCTTTGCAACTTGAATGGAAGAAATTGTATTTTCAAAGAAGTCTTCTGGGATGGGTCGAGGTGCAGGAATTGCAGTACCTCCAACTGCAGGAGCTGGTTGTTGTGATGTGGGTTGGATAAAGGAGACTGGACCGAACAAATCAGTAGGTGGTGAAACTCCAACTGCGGCAGCAACTGGAGGAGGAGGCTGTGATAAGATCTGGCCAAGGTCCTGAGAGCCACTTGACGTCCTTGCCCTTGGGGTAGGGCCTAATAATGCTTCACCAAGTTTAAGCTGTTTAGTGGCTTCTTTGATTTTATTGACGTCTACTGTGGTGGAGGAAATTGGTTTGTCTCTTATCCTAATTTGAAGCTTCTTGGTTTTCGATGTTCCTTCTTCATCACTGCTGCTACCATCACCAGCTGCGCCACCATACATCGTCTTCTTGAATTCCTCTTCAGCTTTGGACTGTTCAGCAGATGACGTACCAGCCGCATTTTGTCTTGAAAGAGCTTCTAGGCCATTAAAGGAACCACCACTCGAATTCGTACCAGTTAGTCCCTTTGCACTGCCAGAGATGGATTTGGCTAAGATATCTGGAATTCCATTGTTCAGCTTATTGTCAGCTGAAGGAATAAGAGATTTGACTAAGCTATCTTCTCTCACTTCCACAACGTTTCCTCTTCCTTTTATGGAACCTAGATAAACACCAATATGATCAACAATGATGTGAGGGATTGTTCCCTCATCCGTCCTCATATATGGCATCACCTCTCCAGCAAGCTCCCACTGAGGAATGCTCTTTAAGTTGGTAGGGGTCTTGATTTCCCAGTTACCACCACCCCACTCGGGTCCTTTCGGAACCATACTCTCAGCAGCAAAGTTTGCGAAAATGCCTTGCGTCCATCCAGTAGACCTAACTCTCAAAATCCTTTCACAATATCGCCTCAACTCTGGATCCACACTTTCTTCTTCCAATTTTTGAGCAAGACGCCGCATGGCACTAGGATTAAGGTGGCATATGAACAAATCTAGCAAGCTTTCGTAATCTGCAATGACTTCAAAAGTTTCTTTGGCACTGTCGAATTGACCGTATCTGAAATATGGAATTTAGTTAATATCACAATTTTGATAGAACTTGGACTCATCACTATATAAGAATAGCACAACTTCATCAAGCATCAAAAGAATCTGAACTCGCAAACATGCGCACATCAGCATAGACCTGAGTATAAAATTTGTTTTCCGGACATTAGGGAGTAGGAAATTGGGTGTGACTGGTAAAGAAAATTTATGGGCAAAAGGGGATGGGAGCTGAAATATGGGTAAGCTGTTTTCCCACCACACTCCAAAATAAACAAACAAGAAACTTTCTTACATTAACCCTCAAGTTTCCTCCTCTTCCTTTTTCACATCCTAACCAACAAGGGGCAAGTCTGGATAGACAAAAGATCTGACTAATCATCAAAAGCCTCGATTATCTGAGTTAATTGAAATCCAATCTATGACTATTCATAGAGAATGCTCCATCACCAAGGTCAATCAACAGAAATTGCAATTTGTTGCTGCCTCATAAACATATAGCAAGCTTCATTATTCCACTCAGCCAAATCTCCAAAATGACGAACAACAGAAGCTTACATTTAATAACTCGCACGTGATTAAACCAAAAAAAAAACTAACCAAATAATTAAATAGACACACAGACAATCATATGCAACAATGAGGTCCCAAACTATATGAATTCATGAGTTGCTGAGTGCACTTCTATTGAGCATCCAATATTTGTGTACCTGATACATGCATATCCCAGTTGTCGAAACCGGTGGAACAAATGTGACGTTGGAGGACATTTTGGATAATCTCTGGACCGCAAGAACTCATCTTTGAGAACAGACAATGCCGTTGAAAAACGAAGAGCTTTGATAGCATAGATACATCGCAAGACCTGACTTTTTTTAGGCAACTTGGTTCAGGATTAAATGGGAAAACAAACAAATCAGATTAAAGGTGAACAAGCAAACTTCCACTCACCTGCGTAAACTGGGGACCTGCTTGAGATAATGACACTGCAAGATCTCCACAAACTGGAGGACCCCTGGCGAGAATGTCCAGTGCCCTCGGTGTAATCCGCAAGCTGTCAAACCTTCACTCAGATAACAATTTGGAATCTCTAGGATATCAGTAATACCGCAATGGCTGGGCTTTCATAGAAAATACAAAGAGAGGTAAAACAAGATTGCAGCCCTAATTGAAAATACTTAGGAAACTTGCAGTATAATCGCTAAACATTTCAATTTCCACAGTAAGGGATACTTAACCTTGAAGTTATCTGGTAAAGTGTTTCTGAAAGGTCAAGCTTCTGCTCAAAAGTTTGTTGCA